TATATATAAGAATACCTTTTTACCAATATAAAAAGGGCTATAGCATGCCTATTTGCCGCATATCTTTTCGGATCACGTAAAGCCGATAGTTACATAGTAAACTTCATATTTTATTGCACACCTACTATGCTATAAGCATGTCCAAAGCTTCTTCTCTTTAAGGTACATCCCAATAACGTATTTTTATTTGCCAACTAATGATAATTTTCCTAACATGGTTTGATATTGTATTTCTTAATGCTAAAAAATTTCAGTTATGTTTGTTTTGGCTTTACTTTTCAGTGAATTTACTTTTTTAATGATATACTTGATTAGTAATTATTATGGTAAATAAAATAACTCAGTATACATATTTCTTGTAATTAGCTACATGGTTGCACGGTAGAGATAGAAAAAGTGGTTCGTGAAAATTTATTATGTCACTTTATATCTTACATACATAAAAGATGATTTTTATATCTTTCATCAATTATGATTAATATAGTTTCCTATATCATGGTGCATATTAGGGCTTAACCTAATAATTGAGACTTTATATCAAGTAAGATTTTTTTCTATTAGATTTTAGTAAATCATCGCCGCCACAAACATTATTTGACAATGCTAGATATATAGCCTCCTTTTGTAAGGACTATGCTACGTGAACATTGATTTTGATAATTGAGATGAGTTTGTTTAATATGAAGCATGAAGCAACTTGCAAATTGAAAGCTTGAAGATCGAGAGCTATATCAATTCCTGGTTATTTTTCTAATATATTCCATTGGATAAAACTGTAATAGTTTTCTAATACGTGTTTAAACTAAAGCCAGAATTACCCAAAATAAAATCTAACTAACTGAATTAGATTGATCAATTGTGTCGGTTCAAGCGACATGCAATCATTTGTTGAATAATGTATTAGCACTAATTTTCAACATCTTAAATAGTGTTAATGTCAATTGCTTCATAATTTTTTTGACAATAATTTTTGTGATTGAGGTAACATACTCGTGCAATGCACGTATATATAGAAATTAGTCCTAATAAATTTGACTGACTATTTATATAAATATTCCTATTAGGAAAAGTAAATAGTAAATTCAATTGGCTATTTATGTAAATATCGCTACTTTAAGACTCTATTGTAGTAGGGAGAAATTCAAAAATAGCCAGATTTAGTAGTCATTCAAAAATAGTCATAGTTTTAAAAGTAATCTAAATTTAGCCATTTTTCATGTAAAGATAAATTTGAACGAAAACACTGTTCAAAATCAGGAAATTACTTCAGCAAAATATACTGGAGTTTCAGCATAAATATAATGGAACTCCAGCATAGTATAATGGAGTTCCAGCATAAGTATATTGGAACTCCAGCATAATATACTGGAGTTCCAGTATAATATACCGGTCCAACATAATATGCTGGAAGTTCATACACAGGTGCTCCAATCTCCAGTATATTATGCTGCAACTTTCTGCGTGCTCATAATATGCTGGAAGTTCATACACAGGTACACCTATCTCCAGTATATTTTGTTGGACCGATTTCTGTTGCAGCAAAATAATGGTTATTTTTAATGACTTTACAAACGATGACTATTTTTGAATGACCAGTCGAAAAACTAGTTAGCTCGTGCTATTTTTACGTTGTAGACTTGTAGTATTATTACAGTCCAACAAACAAAACGGTGTCGACAACTGACTTCACCTCAACATCTATTCATCATGTTCTCTACTGTACAATTACTATATATAGTTATACATATTAGGTGTGGAATAAATACTAAAATTATAATAGGGTTTTTTTTTTATATTTATGCAAATCATGAAGGTAAAATAAGAATTCAAGCTAAGAAAACAGTGTTTGGATTAATTTTAGTTAGTTTTTAATTGGAAAAACATTTTTCGTCTGGAAATAGTTTTTGGAAAGTTGTTTTTGCAATGTATTGCATTAAGTGCTTTTCGCAAACAAAGATCAACGATGTAATACACAAATTTATTAAACTATCACTCATCGGGAGACATTATCATGTGAAAATTACAATTATTAATGAAAGACATGCATCGTGATTGAACTAATCAACTATTATGATAGTCAAATTAACACCTTCAGTTTGTTTGGTGATAAATTTGTTTTCTTGGTCTTTTGTTGAAAAACTAATTTTTTTCCAAAATTGAACAAAATTTTGTTTTCCAATCAAGTATTCAGTATTTTGAAGCAAATGCTAATTTTCACAATATTTTGTTCCAATTCAAACAATTTATTATATTTCCTACTTCAAAATCTTATCCAAATTACTAATTTAAACATACCTTTCAAATCATGTAGGGTTTGTCCAACTTGGAGTGCAACCTAAGAAGCTATGATGGTCAATTACAGCTAGGCTGGGGAAAGGTCCCCACACGACTAAACCACTAAAAGTAGGGGTGTACATAGGTCGGGTTGGTTCAGATTTTACAATTATCAAACCAAACCAATTATGTCGGGTTATTAAATCTAAAAACCAAACCAAACCAATAAAATTCGGGTTTTTCACTCTCGGGTTTTCTTGGGTTTTCGGATTTTTTCGGATTTTTTTCCGGTAAAATCTTCGTGGAACAAAACAAATAAATTGTGCTCAAAATATTTCTTTAGTCCTAGTAAGATACAACTATATAAAGTATTTTTCAAGAAAATAATACAAAATATGTGATATGTCATGGCATTATCCTAAAATATTCAACAATAAGGACAATAAAATTATATAATATAAATATTACTAATTAAAAAGTCATAATAAAAATAAACATAATCTAAAAGTACTAAGTCATGCTAAAATAAGTAGACTAATAAGAGAGTATTAATTACATGACTAAACGCTAAAGGAAAAATAAAAATAGGTTATGCATTTTTATCTAAATTTTTGCAAAACAAAAAATAGATATTCAATACATTCTCGTTCGTAGTATTGAATTGAATATCTTTTGTTAGCATTAATATTGATTTGATTTTGGTTTGGGCTTTTGCTTAGCACAACTTAATTTACTAATGTTAATAGCTATAAAACCTATTGGAATATTCAAAAGTTCTAAGCCCAAACTTGAAATAATACCTCAAAAGATAAAATTATGAAATCTTTTAAGAAATATTTATAAATTACATCACAATAATTATATTTATATATTAAATATATCTAAAATTTCTATATATGTAATGTCGGGTTGGTTTGGTTTCGGTTTGACTTTCTTTAGTTAAAACCAAACCAAACCAATTATGGTCGGGTTTTTTTTCCAACACCAAACTAAATCAAACCAAACCATAGTCGAATTTTTTTTTCTCAGTTTCACTCGGATTATCGGGTTGTTGCGATTTGTCGGTTTCCTTTGTACACCCCTAACTAAAAGTTTGGGCAAAATACAAAACTGGCTTCCAAAAAGTGTGTGTGTGTATGTATGTATATATATATACACACAAAATATACATTTTATTAGTTATTATTTTTGGAAGCGGCTTAAAATTGACAGTTTCTAAAAAAAATTCTTTTTACCCTAGACATGCACTAAAGGGGCCGGTCCAACAAAATTTGCAAAAAAACAAGAACAACAAATGTTATACTCCAATCCTGGGAAAGTTAAGATCAGTTATATAAATTCTTATTACTCGTATTGCTCCATTATTTAAGCTTGTGTGAGCCCAACATTATTTAATATTAGATCGAGAAGGGCTTAAGGAGAATAACATGACTAGTGAGAATTTATATAGTCGATTCCAATTTGATTGAAATTGAATATCCATATAACAATTTTGCACCACAAGTAGAGAGAGAGTTGACATACTTGTAATGTGTAGGTGAAATGCCCTGAAAGAAGATTCTGGTTCTACTTTTGTCAATATTGGCATCAATCCATCTTGCCCATGTCCTTAGGCCTCTCTCTAATGCCACTAGCCTGTTCATATCCTCATACAATGTCCCTCCTGCATCCATATAATCCCACCTGTACATAGAGGCGAATTCAAGATTTTAAATGGGCGTTTGGACATAAGAATTATGAAATTTCGAAAAAATATGAAGAAAACAATTCAAGTGAAAATGATTTTTAAAAATTAAAGTTGTGTTTAGACATAAATACAATTTGGAGCTGTTTTTTATTTTTATCCAGTGACTTGAACTGAAAATTTTAAAAAATAGCTTTTTGGAGTTATTTAAATCTCTGAAATATTCCAAAACTTAACTTCAAATGAAATTTGAAATTTTCATAGCCAAACACTGATTCCGAATTAAGTGAAAAGTTTCTCAAAAGAGTGAAAAAAAATTATGGCCAAACGGGCTTTAAGTTTATGAGTTTTTATACCAATCCCAAATATACGAAAATAATCGGATCAACATATACGGTATCGAGCTAAATATTCTTATACACTAAATGAAAACTTTAATACAAATATAGATTCTAGGCCAAAAATTAGAGTTCACTTGAACGCGTAACCATTGCACTAGATCCGCCCTGTCTGCAATCATTTCCCCCTTAATTTCATGTCAATCTTCAAACTTTATTATCCTACATATGATTCAAAACTAGTCTTTTTTTTTTTTTTTTACATTTGGACAAGGTTATACCCCAATTAAGATTCTAAAGAAAAAGAAAAAAGGCTAAAAACGAATGCCAAAGTGAATGTGGGGCAGTATGTTTACCCTTGGAGAGAGCCTTTGTGTGTCCACCAATGGCCAGTGTTGAAAGAGAGAACATCTACACCTTTCCAAGCATTGGAATTCTTACTTATATCATCCAATCTCAGCACATTCTTCCCTTGTACTGAGTCTATATCTACCAAATATGGTGTTCTGTAAAATGATACACTCACTCCATAATCCTGTCATTTACCCAAATCCACAAATTGTAACTCCAAATTAGTGTACAAAAGTAAAACACACAATTTATTTTTTAACAACACTACTAATCAGAGATGGCAAAATTAACTCTATGTTTTAGCAACAACAATAACAAACCCAGTAAAATTTTATAGGTGGGGTTTGGGGAGGGTAGTGCGTACACAGACCCCTACTTGGGGAGATAGAGAGGTCGTTTCTAATAGATCTTCGACTTCTTACTCTATGTTTTAGCAATTCGTCAAATTTTCCCACGTTCGAACGGGTGCGTTTGTTGACTTGACCCAACGAGCTAAATCCGAAATGACTTACTATCAAGTTATTGATTCGACGGTTCAAAATATTATAAACAGATAGGTCAAAATACAACTCAAACCCAAAAATATAAAATAAAATTTGGAGATTGAAAAATATATAAACTCAAAAGAACTTAAGCTAACAATTTAAGAAAAATACATTAGTGTTCACGTGTTTAAAAAAAATGAGAAATGAAGTGAGGTCAATCATATTAACCGAGTTGAGTTATTAGGAAAAATGACATTGTATAGCCTCTCTCAAAATAATAACAATATATATGTATGTATGGTATATAGAAAAAAATATACAAATTTTATACACTTTTGCGGCTACCAAATATAAATAGTTTTGGTGGCTGACTAAAAGTGATCTTTGCCCAGAGTTATTATCCATTATTTGATCCGACCATTTTTACAGGGTGAAATTCAAAAATAGCCAGATTTACAAGTGGTAATTAAAAAATAGTCACAGTTTCAAAAGTAATCGAAATTTAGCCACTTTTCATGTAAAGATAAACCTGAACGAAAACACTGTTCAAAATCCGAAAAATATTCCAGCATAATATAATGGAGTTCCAATATAATATACTGGACTTCCAGTATAATATACTAGTCCAGCATAATATGCTGGAAGTTTATACATAGGTGCATCAATCTCCAGTTCTTATGCTGGAACTTTCCGTACTGCAAAAAATAGTGGTTATTCCTCAGTGACTTTGCAAACGCTAACTATTTTTCAATTACCAGTCCGAAAACTGACTAGCCCGTGCTATTTTAACATTTTACGTGAGCAAATATTTGACAGGACCCTTTTATTGGCTTGGCTTGTTTGATTCAATTTCGTTCATTTGCCACCTCTACATTATTAATTATAAAAAGATTATAAATAAATATAAAAAAAAAAAAAAAGACTAACCAGAAATTTGAAAGTAGAGATAGGATCACCCGTGATCATCTGTGTTCGAGCTCGTGGGACCGCAGCTGAAATCATACAAATCAACGACTGCCATTGGTTCCTTCCTAAAGAATCACCAACATACATCACTGTCTTTCCTCTCATTTTCCTCACAAAGTCCAGCCCATTAAACCTACCAAAAAATGCAAAAATTAACCCAACAATTCAACAACCAAAAATAAAGAAGTTATTCACTCTATTAAATAAATTTAAAAAGTCAAGTTAACAGAGGCAAATGAAGCATATTTCGATATAGAAAATAAATACATATGTAAATAGCTAAAATTTGAATAAATATTAAATTTTAAACTTATAGTTTCAAAAGTATAACATGCAGAACCTAAAAGTTGAATTTATCACGTTTAAATTCTGAATCCGACGTAGAGGTATATGAAAGAAAAAGTAAGTAAACAGCTAAAACATGTCAACTAGCACTAACAATATAAAACATAGTATATAGTTATACTGTTACGGTATATAGCTTAAATCTAAGATAAAAAGCATTCAAATATGGAAACTTTTTTTTTTTAAAAGCTAAAGGTCGAACCCTTCAAACTCAAATTCTGAAATTTGCTTTTAGTTAGTAACATGAAAAAAAAAAGACAAGTGAACAGATAAAACATGTCAAATTGTGCCGACAGTATAAATAATGATTATACAATGTATATAATAGGGGCGAAGCTACGCGGTGCTAACGGTGATCACTTGATCATTTTTCGTCGAAAAATTATGGCATATATATAAGTCAAATATTAATAAATTTTAGAGGTATAACATATACTAAATACTCTTTGTCGGAAAATTTTTTCCACTTTCAAATTTGAACACTTTTGAGAAATTCCTGACTTCGCCATATAATTAAAATCCAACATACAAAACGAGCAAAGAATGAAAGTTTATTCGAGAAAACAGAATTGCAGGTACCTGGGAATATCACAATTAGCAGGTTTCCATCTATATTTAAGATAATCTGTATCAGGTCGACCAAAATTTTGGCAATTAAATTGTGGATCAATAATGGGACAAGAAGAAGATTGGTATAATGGATAAGTTTCATCATAAACCCATGAACCCATAAATAGAGAACATGAAGTAATATTAGCCAAAAGATTTGGCCTTTTATGTTGATTTGGATGGTTTTTTAAAGCTGCAAATGAAACTACAGAAAAATATAGTAAAAGAAGACATATTAAAGAAGAAGAAGAAGAAGAAGAATGTGTAGAAGAAAGAAGATTCATTGGAGAAAATTAAGGGAACAGAGAATAACAACAGAGAGAAGAAAAGAAAGAGGAAAGGAAGAAGAATATGTTATTAATGTATGTGTTTTAGTAGTATATATATATATTATTATAAAGGGAAGAGAAATGGGCAACAGAGGGAATGGGAATTTTTGTTGCTTAGTGTGCATGTGAAGATAACTTAGATTCAAGAATCAGGGACGGATTTAACATTTTCTGTCTAAAGTATCACGAGTGTTAAAGCCTAAAATAAAATTGGGCGGGCACCCTATTTCGTCGCTCATATTTAATCTATACCTATTTTTTTTTTTAAAGTTTTAATTTATACTCACTATTTAAACAACTTCAGGCCACTTTCTCCTCCTCCTTCTTTTTTTGAATGCTGAAGATTAAGATATTGTTATGTGTTCTAGCCTAACTTATATATGCTATTTTAGCTCTTTACAACTAGGAATTAGCTTTTGGACCGTCCAGTTCGAAAATTCTAATTTTAATTGCTATTGAAACATGAAAGCACGACTTGATTCCCTGTGCATTAGGTGAAATGTTACTTTTACTAATGGTCTTGTTTTATAGGAGTATTGCTTTTCAAATTTCCTGATAATTTCATTATAGCAACTGGATTTTAATGACAACTTGTCATTGTTGTTTTAGAACTTCAGCTCTAAGAATGCAAATATAAACAAAAACTTCACTCCTAGAATGCTGAAGTTCAGCAAATACAAAACAAACTTCAGCCCTGAAGTTCATCACAAACATAACAAAACTTCAGCTAAAACATGCTGAAGTTCAGCAAATACAAAACAAACTTCAGCCCTGAAGTTCATCACAAACATAACAAAACTTCAGCTAAAACATGCTGAAGTTCAGAAAATATAGAACAAAACTTCAGCTAAAACATGCTGAAGTTCAGCAAATAGAGAACAAAACTTCAGCTACTAGAATGCTTAAGTACAACAATTACAAACAAAAACTTCAGCCAACACTTGGTTCAACAATTTTTGTTACTTCAGGCTCGTCTACTAGAATGCTGAAGTTTGCGTGATTGTATTTGCTACTTCAGGCCCGTATGCCTGAAGTTACACGAAAAGTGGGTATACTTGTAATTTTTTTTGTAAAGCGGGTATAAGCTAAAACGTGACCCCAAAAGCGGGCATAGATGCAAATGCCCTATTTTAAGCATAGACAGACCCAAAATTTAAAGGTTACGGATACACTTTACATTTATATTGCTATTTTTAAAGACATATACATGTATATATGAAATTGTTACCAAACTTTTTGAGGGCCGATGACTTTTGTCTTTATAACATAGGTGGGTTAGCCACTTTTTAAAGTGGTATTTACTTTTTATCCAGTATTTTTAATACCGAGCAAAAGTAGCCACTGGTCTATTAAAATTAATATGAAAAGACAGTGTTGCCCTTTCTTCTATCTCTTTTCTGTCCATGTTCTCTTCCTTGCCAGTCTCTCCGTCTCCTTTTTCTCCGGCGAAATCTTTCTGCTCTATGCTAAAAGTCCTAATTTTTGTTTTATTCCCTTATTGTGATTTTGGGTAAAAGTTCGTATTTTAATTGTGTTGCTATACTTTTTCATTTTCTCTTTGTTTGAATGTGCAGAGTTCCTGAACTTAGAGTTTCGTGTTCAAAACATAAGGACATGTAGTCCTTAACTTAAAGTTACAAATTCAAAAGTTAAGTACAGGTAGTCCTAAACTTAGAGTTACAAGCTCAAAATCTATGGACAGGTAGTGCTTAACTTAGACTTACAAGCTCATAAATTAAGGACAGCTAGTCCTGAACTTACAGTAACAAGCTCAAAAGTTAAGGGCACTTGGTCCTAAACTTTAGAGTTGGAAGTTTAAAAATTAAGGAAACTTAGTCCTTAACTTAGAGTTACAAGCATAGAAATTAAGGACATGTAGTCCTGAACTTCGAGTTCCAAGTTCAAAAGTTAAGGACACGTAGTCTTGAACTTAGAGTTGCAAGTTCAAAAGTTAAAAACACTTGGTCCTGAACTTTATGAGCAGAAAGGTATTTTCGTCCAGACGGGTAAAAGTTTATTAAAACAGTGGCTAAGACTAAAGATATTTTAAACAGCGGCTTAAAAGTAAATACATATCTTATTACTAGTTAACTGTGCACTTTTCCCCGTCTTTGGTTTTATGTTCTTTACAGTGACAGTGTAAATTTTTTAAAACATTGCGTTAAATAGATATGTAACAATAGGTAAGTTATTGTAAGCCTGCCATGATAACCTGGAAAATAAGACACTTCGTTTGTCCCAATTTGTATGGTACTTTTTGTTTATGTGAACTTTGACCGCTATTTTAAAATGTATTTTTTTCATCGTATTGACATATTCAACTTATAGTATTTTTGTACGGTTTTTGAATATTTAAATTTTAATTTTAAAATATTAAATTAATGTAATCTATTTTAGCTTAAAAAATTAATCAATTAACTCTCGAAAAGTTCTGCATAAATGGGGGCAGAGGGAGTAATAATTTGCTGCAGCTAATTAAATTGCAAGAACAGTGTACAATATATATGACTTAAATCCTTGTACGAAATATTAATATATATGGATAGATTTATATATATGTATAGTATAAAACGGTTTAAACTAGGAGTGTTTTAACTTATTATAATATATTGTCTGCTTTATATTACATATAATTAATTTAACTTTTTACAGATAATTATTTGTACCGCCCAGAATTGTGCTGAAATGGATATAGGATTTCTTTATGCTTAATCAGAGATTTTTGATTCGAACCTGGGAATATACAAACTCGTGGCCATAGAGTGCCCTTTTAATGGGCCTTACGTGATCAAATCTAGATTAATAGGGACCCTAAAGTGCATATCAGCCATCGGATAAAAAAGGTGATTACTTGTAATTATCTTTTACGGGATTTGATATTGTAAAGATTCTTTTAATACTACCCTGTAGAAGTTAAACTCGGTATACACTTAAAAATAGTTTAAATATATACTCTTAGAGCCTGTTTGGACATAAAAAAAAATTAACTTCTTTCGAATTCTTTTTACTTTTTTTTTTCGAAATCCGTGTTTGGCCATAAAATTTTTAATTTTCACTTAAAGATGAATTTTAGAATTTTTCAAAAATTTAAAAAACTCCAAAGGGTTGTTTTCCAAAATTCACTCAAATCACTTACAAAATTTCAAAAAGCAACCCAAAATTATATTCATGTCCAAAAACAACTCTAATTTTCAAATACCACTTTCACTTAAAATCTTTTTTCACTTTTTTTTTAAAATTTTACAATTTTTATATCCAAACGCCCACTTATAATTGAAGTCGAAAACATCGGGAATTACTACTCTCATACTATAGTACACCTATGATTCACGTGTGTTAGTTACAATGTAGGCCTGTTGGTGAAGTAGCGGTGGGTGTGGCTGTTGGAGATGAACTTGTGACTGCCTTGATTTCATCACAATTACTAACCCTTAATTAAAGCAGTTGAAATTTTGGACTAAACTTTTGTCATCATTGTATCCACTTGGATTAAATTACAATCTAACTCTAAAAATTATTGGACAGTACTTTTATGTTTACTCGTGAATACTTTCCTGTTTTGTCTGGAGTATCAATTTTGTGCATAATTTATAGAACTACTTTCTAAACTGAATTAAGTATATATTTTTTTCCTTCTATTATTGATATAGAAATTATGTACTTACGCTCTCAGTTAGCTGTCTTGCCAACTGTTTTCTATAGACACACCACGCTATTTGGTGGCAACTAATTGCCAAGTTTTATATATAT